ATTATGAATTTGTAATCCATAAAGGAAACCAATAAAAATAAAACAATATATCAAATAATTGTTGAATAAGCAAAGCTCACTTCTACTAAAGAAACCAATAAAAATAAAACTGAAGTATCAAATAATTATTGAATAAGTAAAGCTCATTTTCATCAAAGAAACTAATAAAAATAAAACTGAAGTATCAGATGACTGTTGAGTAAGCAAAGCTCACTCTTCAACCCTAGGCCTTGTACAGCAGTTCATATAGGTGTAGTAAAACACTATATCAAATATACTATTATATATAAATATTATATATTTATAAAACAAATACATAATAATAAATAGTAGATTATATATATAAAATTACTATATTTTATTATACTTTTAGTAATTAATATACTGGAAAACAGGCAATCAAGATTAATACAAATTGGTTTTGCAAACAAATCTGACTATATATCACCTAAAAATAATATAACTTGGACAAAAAAAAATGATGATCATGTCTATTAAGTATATAAAATTTTAGTAAGCTATATATAACTAAATTGAAAAGTCATAAAATTTTATAACTAATTAAATGAGAAAAATTAAAGACAAAAATTTTTAATAATTGGATAAAACAGCAAAACAGATGATTTACTATACATTTTTCAATTTCAGAAAGTACATAAAACTTTAATCATATAATCTAATGAGTATTTCAAATTTAAACTATTTTTTATCCAATAACATTTAGCAAAAATTCTGTAAGAGGAAATATTTTTGCAAATATAAAATGTATATAAATTTCATATTATTACAATATACAACTTTGTAGATATGAAATCTGCAAATCTGTATTATTTTTATATTTTTTATTTATTATCTACCAATAGTTTAATCAAAAATTTTTTTATTATAAATTTTCCTACTTGTATACTAATCAGTTTATGCAGACACATGCTTTAAATTTTTATTATTAGCTAAATTTTAATTTTAATCATGTTGAAACATAAAAAGAAATTCAAAACTTATTTCAAAATAGACAGTCATTTTTTAAAAAGAAAATATTTTTCAATCATATACCAAGACCTAAACTAAATTTAAAATAAAAAATTCTAATCTTTAATATAATTAATATAAAATTTAGATAACTATATTTCATTAATTAAACCAAAAATATACATATCTTTATATTATTATTATTAAAAAAAAAATATTTTGTAACTAAATTTTAACTAAAAAATAAAATATAAAGAGAAATATTAAAAAATTATACATTATAAAGAACTAAATTGATATTCATTTAATGTAAACCCTACTTTAAGTAATAATATTTAAACACATTTCATTTACAAAAATTATTAAAGATTTAAAGATAATAAGAAAAATCATAATAAGAAACAACAGTTATATTGATATAACTAATATAAAGATTAATTAAAAGTTATCTATTATTGATAAACATTTTCTTTGTTCATTATAAAGTCAAAGAGACAAAGAAAAATAATATGAAGAGAAAAAAGAGAATTGTAATTCTTGTTTATTTAGTTATATAATTAGTATTCATATAAAAAGTTGTAATTTATTTTTTAGTTTAGTAATAATATTATATTCAACTTTTATTTCAATAATAAAAATTTATACAGATGAAAATAAATATATTAAATTTTTATTCAATAATAATATTTTGTATAAATCTACAGAATGTAAGATATATAAAGCAAACTTGTCTCAAATAATAAAGGATTCACTTGTGTAAATAAAAAGTATAAAAAATCAATTTTGATATTCAAAGATTTCTTTTTTTTCAAAAGAACATATGAAATACAATCTTACAATGATATTTGGTTATTTTTGGCTATCTAAATGCAATTATTATTCGATTGAAAAGATAATAAGCCATTTATTAAATACAATAACTGATTATATAAAATCTATCAAGAATTAGTTATTAATACTTTAAATAATTATGAAGACAAAATAAATAGTACAGGAATCATTGTTGAAATTAATAAATCTAAATTTGAAAGAAGAAAATATCATTGTGAAGAGTTATTAATAGTGTATAGATTATTGATGATATTGAAAGAATAGAACAAAAATAAAAGTTTCTAATAAAGATACAAAAATATAATAAAGAAACAATCAAAGATATCTTAGATAAATATGTTAAAAATGGATCTATTGTTTATACAGATTGTTAAAAAGGTTATCTGAATATTGATGAACTAGAATTCAAATATAAAACTGTTAATTATTCAGAAAATTTTATAGATTTCAAAATAAGTACATATATAAATATCATAGAATAATTGTAGAATGATATCAAGTTTTAGATTGTTTTATAAAATCAAAATAAAGATTTAATTAAACCATACTTATTTAAATTTATTTGATACAAAGTAAACAAAAACAAACTCTGTGATAAATTTCAAAACACTACATTCCACAGCATATTACTAATTGGATGATATTATATTGTAATAATTACATATATTAGTATATACTAAACTATAGTTTAGTTAAATAATTTAACTATATTGAGTTCTTTTTGGAATTTAAACTATATTTTTGTTATAAGTAAAAATTCTAAAGTAGAGAAAGATAAGATTTTAATTATCAATTCAAGAATTATTGAATTTTATACAAATTATTTTGTAATAATAATTCTTTTAGTAAGATATTTCTACAATTTTAAGATTTATAAAATTCAAGTTAAAAATTCTAAAATAGAAGAAGATAAAAACTACTACTATTTATATATTTGTAAAGATTATAATTATTAAACTATAACTAAAAATTTCATTATTATAATAGTTAATGTAACCAGATTGTTCATCATTCATTATCATTTTCAGATTTGATAATCTAATTCAACTAATCTATAACTGATGTCTATTTGTCACACATATGACATAACCAACAAATTTCTAAAATTTCCAAGTACTGTGATCTAATATTGGGCTTTGTCAAGCAACTGACTTGCTGTTTTACCCATGTCAATATCACAAAGTGTATATGGTTAAAAATCAAACCTAAACCTGATGATCGAATATAACAGAATAGTACACAAATTCAGGTTGATTTTTAGTTATTGCCTACCACAAGGACAATAATATATAGTTGGACCCCAAAATCGGTCATACGTCATCACAGTTACATGTGACCAATCATCGACATTAGGTCCCGCCCCCTACCCAAGTAATTAGTCACATGAAAAGTAAAATTTATCTTACTTTTCTTACTTTTATTACTTTTGTTACATTTATTACATTTATTACTTCGGGTAAATCAATGGTATATAGGACATTCAGTTTTTCATTATTATAGTGAAGAAATAGGTTTTAATGATTTATAGTGTAAATAGATAATATAGAGAAAATTAACCTCAAATGAAAACAATACTTTTATTATAAATAAAGGGCTTCCGCCCAGGGGGAAAGCAACAAGTATGGGCGATACCTCCAAGTGAATACATCTTCGCATAATAACTTAAGTATCGGACCCATATTAAAAGTGAAACTATAACCCAATCCAAACTGAAATCTATCGTTAAACCCCTCGTTATCCATATCGTTCGTTTGCAAATCACTAAACCGCATTTTGATCGTTTGCCGTAAGTCACGTGACCAAGCCGTTAACGCAAGAGAAGGATCCAAACCCGATGCGACGTATCGTTACCCAGGTCAAGGGAGTAGAAGGAAGATAAGAGAAAGCAAGGGTTAAAGAAGAATAGGTTGAAGGAAAGACTTAGAAGAGAAGAGTAGCACTTACCTACGGATAAGCCACCCAGTCAAATCTAACACGCCTATTTCGACTTAGCCGCCGTAGGTTACGCGAGAATTGGAAGGAATTAGCGGCAGACTCGCCGAATTGCCGAACAACAATAGCGCTACACGCATGGTTTTTCGATGTGCACATAACATTGGAGTGGGTTGCGAACTGAACTATGTGTAGTATCACATAAAAATTTAAAATCGACGTAAACAATATTTAATTAAAAAACAATTCATTAACAGTTTAATGTTGTTGAGATTATCAAACAATGCATACAGAAAAAATAAGTTAGAAAATGTAATAAATTCGTTTTAATATGTAATAAAAATCGATTTTGTAACTTTATTATTGAAAGAAAAGGTTGATTGACGGTAAACTTGTTGCTAAAAAAAGAATCGCGACTGTGTATTCAAAACAGAAACATCTATTTTTATATACAAGAATAAATATATTGATAAAATTTTCAATAAGGTTGATAAGATTAAATAGTAATACCTATATTAGCTTTTATTTATTTAGTTAGCTATCCTAACGTAATGTATTTCTATCTTTTCTATAATTAAATGTTTGTTCTATTTTTTGATCAAGTTTTTATATTGGAGTTTCAGCATTAATATTTTATAAATAAATATGGCTTTTTATAAGATTTTTGAAACCTAATTGGTCCACAGTTTCATTATATGCAATCCGATTTTCAGTATTACTATATCAGACATTGTGTAATAGCCAATAAAACGCATTGATTTTATATATTAATCATATTAATCATGTGGTCGGACAGATCTGAGTAATTGCCTCTAGTATATGCTCCGATCACATGATATACATATTCCCGAATAGTCCTCCGCTACGCTCCGGAAAATAAGCAAATCAATTGACCTAGAAAAAATTTTCGAACGTAATAAATATAATCTTAGATCAAAATAAATCACAACTGCTTGAAGCATCTATATGAAGAAATCATTTGATAAGTGGTTGAATTCTCTAAAAAATAAATAAAAATAAAAATAATACGGTGCATTCCCAACTTTCCTAGGTTATCGTTTCGGAAATGAGCATTTTCCAGAATGGTAACCTCGGAAATGTCAATGCGCGTTTTCTTATAAGGAAGGATCATAAATTTGATCAGTATTAAGTCAAAGAAAGGATAAAATATTAAAGAAGTATTTCTGATATTTCTGGTAAACGAACGCAAAAACGAGTCATGGTCGTCGGAGATTTCCAGTGAGTATGTAGATGCATGTTGATCAAACATGACACAGAATGTTTTTATAATTGATTGATATTGGCTAAATTTGATATTATAGTTTAAGGGGATATATGTTAGAGAAAGGTTTTCTTTTTGTTAACGCGACCAATAATTATGATCAGATGATTTGGTTACTTTAGGTAAAAAAAAATATAAATAGTTTATCATTTCTGGGTTAAATTCAATTCAAACATCGGTTTTATTAAATTAATTATGCCTCAGATTAAGTCATCTCGAGTTATGCTGCAGATTAGTTCATCCCGCACTGCCGCTAATCGAAGGTATTATGAAAGAAATCGAGAACGCATTCTCAAGCGCCGTAAAGATTCTCGCAATGAAACTCGCGCTCAACTACAACTTCTTGAAGAAATTATGATTCTTTGTTCTCAAACTCATTATTGTCCTACTTCTCCTCGTGACCCTTTATATTTTGAATCCTCTCAAAATGAAACTATGCCGGCTCAAGACCGAAGAAAGCACATTAATAACAAATGATAAATATTTAGACAGAATGACTATTCAATTAATGTTGGGGTACATTTTCGTTAAGTTATATATGAAGTGATTAATGAACGTTTTAATTGGCAAAATCTTTAACATTCATTCTGGCAGAGTTAAATCTGAATTTTCGTATTTCGTATTAGACTTTTATATTTTTTTTTAAACATACATTCTTGTAATGTTTCTTCGTTAAATTTTCGGTTTACAACATATGACTCTAAGCAAATTTCTTTTAATAAATAAGTTATTTGAATTTTTAATTTTCAGAATTTACTAGTTAGTAAATATGGAGTCTAAACTGTGGTAAGCAGGTAAATGCTTAATCTCTAATCCTTTGCTTCCGAAAAATATGACTTATTATATGAGGTAGTTTACAAGTGTCTTATGCAAGGAACTGTAATAGTAGCCTTCAAATCACAAAAAATTTAAGATTAAAAAGCCTACTAAATTTAAATTGATCATGCTTTTAGATTTGATTTTAATTTTAAAGAAAAGGCTCTAAAATTGTTCGGAATGAAGTCGATTTTCCGAGCAGGGTTCAAAATAACCTGACAGGGGATATTTTTATGTTGCATAATACAAACTACTATAGACTCTGTTATAAAATACACCTGTCAAGTCATTTTGACCCAGGTCAAAATAACCTGACAGGGGATACCATAATTTTCCCCAATTTTACTATCGGAGTACTAAAAATTTGATTAATCATGATAAGTGAATGATTAGTGCAGCCAATCAGCCCTTGGGGGAGAAAAGTAAATCCGATATTTTCGTGTTGTAGACTACAAACTATTATAGACTCCGTTATAAAAATACCCTATCATGTCATTTTGACCCGAGTCAAAATAGAATTTCTCTTATTTTAAAAGTTTAGTATTTTTGATTGAATGATTGTCGTATAAAAAGCGTATAACATCCAATAAACACCCTGTAAATGAGGAAATAACGTAATGAAAATTAGAAAAAAGTGCAATGAAAGATTTGAAGGATTCAATGAATGATTGGATTAAGAAGGCACGATATAAATAAAACACAGAGTTAATATGGAATTCAATAATAGAAATACAACATTGTTGTGTAACATTATCGTGATAGAATTTACCGTAATAAGTTTTATTGTAATTTAGTAATTACATATGAACAAAATTTTAGAACTTTAATTCATCTGTTTCTGGTTTAGCGAAACTGTGTTGTACAGATATCTTATGTGAAAAATAAATAATGTATAATAAATAAGTAATGCGGACCAACGGACTTAAAAATTTGCGGACAGATGCCATTTCAAGTGTGTATAAATTGTATTCGTTCCTGTTTTAGCCTTAACTCAAAAACAATTATTGTCCTAGCTTAACGGAAGATAAAACACGTACGTACATACGTATCATCGCTTACACACAATGGGCCAATCTGCATTTAAATGCATAATCATGCATAGAAATTCTTTTTTATTTGGCTGATGAACAAGGACTCCGATTATAAAATCAGTTAATATATCGGTATATGCTTCGGATATTAACTGAGCCTTGATTGCCTAGTATATTCACACTGTCTTTCATTATAATATGAGTACGTACCACTAAGGGAACCATACTTGAGGCCCTTAAAAGTTTAATAAATTTAAAGTCACGTGCACAGTTAATTTTCTAGTATGCGATAGCGATAATGCATCTTTATGGCATCAATTTCATAAAAAGGCGCATTATGAATAACTAGAAAGGATTCGATCTTTCATAGACAAATTATCTTATCAAGGCGACCATTTTGGCAATCAAACTATTAAAAAAGACTATTTGATCGGGAGGTATTCTTTTATAAAGATTGTCTATAAAATGAACCGTCTGCAAAATAAGCTGTCAATAAATTGAACTGTCTAAATTAATTATCTTTAACATAAGTTTCTCTATGAATTAAATGATTATTAAATAAGGTATCTATGAAATAATTTTCTGTAAAGTGATACATATCCCCTAATAAGCTAGTCGTGAATGCAAACACATTTCACCTTATTCCTCAAGAGACCGTAAATTATTAATTTGGAAACCTCTTGAAGCAATGAATTATATATTACATTCAACCATAATCTGTTTATAAATTCCTGTTATTTCTAATCCCTACATGCTAAACTTCAAAACATTTGCTAATTATCAAGTGCTGGAATTTCTTTGGTGAGTAGTTATTTTAGCGACTTCAAATCAGAATGTAGTGATTTTTTAAAGAACATACGTAAACATAGTTTACGGTTTTAACAAAAACCACAAATACCATAACTGTAAATAAAAATCCAACATCAACTATTATCATATATAATGCACATAAAAAGGACTCTGAAATATAAACGAGTAGTTCACTAATCAGTCTCGAGAATACAATAATAATAGAAAAGATCTAAGGTCATAATGATCGACCAATTACAAGAATCGCGGACACAAATTGTTATAAGTTACTCTGGGTTTTACGATATAGATGACCCTTTTAATAAACTAGTTAGCAAAACCAGGAACGGAAATTGTGAACAAAAATAAAGTCCATATGTATTTAATTCTGATTTTCAAGGACGAAGACCTTTAAGTTATAACTTTCTTGGCAATATTCATATTTATATATACGCACAAGAAAACTAATTATATTGCTTTTAGGCAGCGAGACATCATCAAGATTTAATAGTACATACTAGTACCATGTGTAGCAATCTTAATTCTGTAAGGGTCCGGTTTAGATTCTGAACGAACATAAAATATGAGCAAGATCGAGGAAGAGTTTTTAATCAGATTCCTCGAAGTTGAACGAAAATTACTAAAATATATCGCATCCATCGCATAGTTGGCTTTGACAAATCGCATAACTTTGGACACCCTCCTCATCCTACTTCGAGGTGTGGCTCAGACTTGAGGTGCAGGCGAATCATACCAATGATGTTACAGCCTAAGCCGTAACTTGCTAGAGCCTATGTCGTAACTAGTTACGGCAATCAATAGGATGATTCACCTGCATCTCTAGCTCAGACCAACTTTAAGCAACTCAAAAGCTCACGGGCCGATTCACTCTGAGCCAATTCCTACCGATACACCCAGAGCTTGGGGTATCGGTATCACTGCAACGATATGCAGTTATAGCATCAGATTTAGGGATGGACTCGGTCGGTTACGGTCGGTTATCGGTCGGTTATTACCGGTTATCTAATGCTGAACAATAAAATATAAATTAACTGTTGTAATCAATTTATGTCAAATAGATCTGTATCAGCAAAAAGTTCAATTTTTGTAGTCATTCCTTAAATCTACGAACTCTTATAAATTGAACTATTATAAAATGAGACCAAATTATATGTCCATTTAGAGAGAATTTACATAGAGCATGCACTTATGGTGGTTGAACTGTCATGTAATAATAATTTTTTTTAAAGTGACAAAGAATAAGATTTTATAAATCTTTACTTTCATTTTATCAATAATCGAAATGAGATAGTAGTTATGCCATTACATTTCATTCAACATACAAATATAGAACTAACATTATCAATCAGTTGTTTTTCAAACGGAAAACAATTCAAGTGCCGTATAACCATGCACTTTGCATATTTACATATAACTCCATTCTTGGTGTACACTCGTGAAACTTCAATATCACTTCGTTTCTAGTATACAATATAATTTGGAAATGAGTCCTACAGGAATATGAAACGTAAATTTGCAGAAAAATTATTATATCAAAGAGATCAAATGCCATATCACTCAACTACTTTATATCAATTAATTAATAATCAATTTAATAATAGTGTGAGCTCGTATATGTAATGATTCAAAATTAGTAAATTCAATACATGTAAAAGAAAATAGGAATACTGAACGTCAACATTGCATTTTTTACCACGTGGTACGAAATTGGCGTAATGTAAAATCTTAATTAGATATCGAGCGATCGACATTTCAGGGGTAAATTTTTTTACTATTGTTAGAGGGAATCCGGTTAAAGCCGTTGCGTAACGATCGTCGAAAACGTGACCGAAAACGTGACCGGAATCGCAATCTGGATCGTGACCCAAAATCAGCGATCGTGTAACCCGATTTCTC